TTTTTTCCGGTCTTCCTGGTCTACCAAGGACCCGGCCCACCTTGACCGGGTAGTCTGGGTCCTCCGGAGGACCTGGCCTGTTGTTTTGGACACTGCAGTAATGCTGCTTATCTGATGCTAACTTCAGCTAACTCTTCTAACGCTGCTGAAGACAAAATTTAAAATCTAAATTCAAAACGTGTTCATAAAAACAACATGGCTGGTAAGTGATGTCCAGCAGTTTGAAATGCAGCTCAAACACTGACTGCATCTGCAGGTTTGATGTGTTGCAGGGAAGCTGTAGCTGCATTGGAGAGCTAACAGTTGCTATTGTCTCATAATGATGACATCATAACGAGCGGAGCACCAACAGCAAAGGCTGTGTTCCATTCCAACGTATCTAAATGTGAACTTCAACATTTAAGGTTTAACTTTTACGTTTAAATTTAAACATTTAGATTTAGGATTTAATATTTAAAAATTAAACATTTAAATTCAACATTTAGTAAAAAAAAAAAAAGAGCTAAATGTAAGAACAGTGAGTTAAATAACAATAAAATGTTATTGGAAAAATTTTAACACTAAAAAAGTGATCTAAATAATGAAAAATGTGTTAGTGAAATCTTTGAACATTTTATGTTACACTTGGCTCCTCAAACATTTACAGATACGACTTAGTGCTGACTCTGGAAGACCACCCTTCTGACAGGGACCTGTGCACAAAACCAGGTTTCATGAGTGGTGCAAAAAAAAACAGATGCAATAATCAATCACTGTTTGTTCAGCACAAAGCCAATGTAAATTGCTGTTGCACTTTAACAACAATTAATGCAGCATTTGCTTTTTCAACAGCAGCGGAAAAACAGAAATCCTTGTTTTAAACTCAGAAATGTTTTTTTTTTCATCTCTGACATTGTTTACAGTTCTTAAATCATGTTTAAAATGACTAAATACAGAGCCAATATTTTATTTCTTTCATTTCTGCTTCTCTTAAAACACAATTTCCAATAAAATTGTTTTCACTTAAACAAAAACAAAACAAAGAAGCAAACCCACCCCAGAAATGAGTTCTTCCTACCTCACAGGTGCAACTCCACAACGATCAAATGTCTGAGCTCAACTCTGCCTGCGTCTCTGCTTATCTGTAGGGCTCATGGTGTGTGTGTGTGTGTGTGTGTGTGTGTGTGTGTGTGTGTGTGTCCATGTTGTTGCTCCTTGTGGGGACCAAACGACTCCAGAGGCTGATTCTGGGTCGGGCTGTGTTTATGGCCAAGGTGTGAATTGAGTTTAGGTTCATTTGAAGGTAAATGGTCAGGGTTAGGATAGACAATTACCTAAAAATGAATGGAAGTCAATGGAAAGTCCCCACAAGGATAGAGAAACGTGTGTGTATGTGTGTGCACGCGAGGATTAAAATAAAATAAATGAACATAATTTGTGAGAAACTCGAAGTTTCAGCAGAAGAATGTGAGAGGAGTGAAGAAAAACTGCCTCTCATGGCTTTTAAATGACTCGTTAAAATTTTGGTTTTATTTGTTTTTATACTCTTACAATGGATTATGAAAATGAAGCATAAATTACAGCAGTGAATTGACTATCTTCCTCTGTATCCTTCTGCACTGGAGCCCCCAGGTGGTCAAAATTCTTCTTAACACCTAAACCAGTACGAGTCTGTTAGGTGTACCTACATGTCAATAATGAATGTCTTCTGAATACTTCATGTAACAACTGACTTTGCAGTATTGATCTGAAGGAATAAATGTTTTGTGGTTCGTTCTCCTCACTGAGTCATTTTCCTCTTAAAGCATTTAAGCTTAATGGGGGTTAAAACAGGATGTCTGATGGACTGGTGATTTGTTTAGGTCTTACTGGTGGTACTGTTTCCAGTAAGCTACATGATCCATTCCAGTTTTACTGTAACTGTTGTGTTTTCAGTAAGAATACTGTAAAATGTATTTTATTGGATCAACACACTACTGATGCTGAGTCCTACAACAGGTTTAAACTGTGTCTTTCTCAAAGTTTTAACTAACATTTAAGATTTTAATAAAGTAAAAATAATTTGTCTGAACAGATTACCAAAACAAACAAAATTTAAAATCAGTTTGTTGAGTACTTTCTTCACAATAATGAACTTTTACTGACGTTTCTTGTCAGACTTTTCCACTTACATAATCTTACATTGAAAACAATGTTGACCTATAAGAAATTCTTTTTATTTTTTTTGGTTTCTTACAAAAAAAAAAATAAAACATGAATTTCAAATGTGGAAATCATGTTTTCACGATAAATTAATACTAAGTACTGTAAGGGAAACACATGTTTTGCACATTTCTCATGAGAATTTGGGACATTTCCATCACCTGCATTTGATCACAGTTGGACACTCGTGGTCTTGTTCAAGAACATTATTCATTTCTGTAAAGGTTTGCTCATGCCTCACAAACATCAGTGCTGTGAAAGAGTCTCAGCCACTACCTTAGTTTGTTCTCAGTGTCTGTAAAGTGAACTGTGTTGAGTTTTTAAAGAGTAACTTACCCCAAAATTAACTTTTTTTAGCTGATAAACTGTCTAGAATGTGTCTAAAATGTTATATAGTACTGTTTCTGTGCNTCGTTTGCTTCATGCTCGTGTTTAGTGGAAAAATGAGAATTGGAAATTGGTTCATTATCCAATTTTTTATTTTGTTTCAAAAAACGAAAAACGGAAAAACAAGTCATTTTTTTGGTATTTTCAGTTTTTGTTTCAAACAAAAAAACAAATGAACGAATGATACACGGATTCAAAACAACAACAAAACACACTGTGCTCCAAATTATTATGCAAATAATATTTTCTCAGATTTTCCAAAATTACCTATATTAATTGAAGTCATTGTAATTTTCCAGTCGTCAACTATTAGAACACAATTGAAAGGTTTATGAACAAACTGCCAATGATAACAGTATATTAAAAAAATAATAAAACACTCAAAATGCCTGCTCCAAATTATTATGCACAGCAGAGTTTTCAACCTTTTCATTTTTATAAAGAACAAAAAATGGTCATTTGTAAAATTATAAGCATTAGCAGGTTGCTACAAACTGAAATCAAACAGTTTTCAAGTCAAAACTTAATTCTAGGTGATATTACATTTGCACATAGGAACCCTTGTTCGAAAGGAGCTTTTGAACTCTCTCGTCCATTGAATTTGTCAGGTTTTGGATGGTATGGTCATCATAGACACTCCTTTTGATGATGCTCCAGAGGTTCTCAATGGGGTTGAGGTCAGTGGAGCATGGGGGCCACACCATAAGTTTGTCCCCTTTTATGCTCATAGCAGCCAGAGATGCAGATGTTTTCGTTGCAGCATGAGACGGTGCATTATCATGCATGAAGACGATCTTGCTGCGGAATGCTTCTTCTTGAACTATGGCAGGAAGTGCAGTTTGAGAAACTCCACATACATTATGGAGGTCATCTTTACCCCGTCAGGGATCCTAGAGGGGCCGACAATCTCTCTCTCCATGATTCCAGCCCAAAACATTACTCCACCTCCTCCTTGTTGGCGCCATAGCCTTGTTCGCATGGGGTGTCCATCAACCAGCCATCCTCCACTTCGTCCATCTGGACCATCGAGCGTTGCACGGCACTCATCGGTGAACAAAACAGTTTTGAAGTCAGTCTTCCTGTATTGTTTGACCTACTGGAGCTGTTTCTGCTTGTGTGCAATGGATAGGGGAGGTCGACAGGATGGCTTAGCACAGCTGCAAACCTCTGAAGGACCCTGCATCTTGTTGTTCGGGGGATGTTGGAGGCACCAGCAGCTTCAAAACTTGTCTGCTGCTATGAAAAAGCATTTTTGCAGCTGCTCTTTTAACCTGACGTAATTGCCTGTTGGAAAGAGTCCTTAATTTTCCCTTATCAGCACGCACACGTGTGCTGTGAATCAGCTACATCCTTCTTGATTGTGCGATGATCACAGTGAAGCGACTTGGCAATGTTGATTGTAGTCATGCTTTAACCTAAACACTCCACAATTTGTTGCTTCTCAGCAGCCGACACATTCGTTTTCTTTCCCATTTTGTCTGAAAATGTAGGCTGCTTAATAATGTGGGACAGCCTTCTTAAGTAGTCTTGCCTTTAATTGGACACACCTGCCAAACTAATTAGCACAGGTGTCTGCAATTGCTTTCAGTGATATAAAGAGCCCTGACACACATCACCATGAGTTTAACTGACAAACCAAACAATTCTTACCTTATCACTCCTAAACACTTTATGCATAATAATTTGGAATACAGTGTAATAGTGTCAAATTATTTACTCGGGTTTTACACTCAGATGAGCTAAATAATAAAACTATGTTGACGACATTTTTTAAAGGGGGTTTTAAGCAAAATCTACTTTTTTTTACCTTTATGTCATGTTATAAAGATACCAGAGTGTTGCTTTGACTCATTCATGCACGTTTGAGAAATCCTTGAATCTTCTGTGGTAGCCATGTGGAGCTGCTTTAACACTTGCTGGTACAAAGCTCCGCCTATTTATACAAAGCTCCTCCCTGGAGCTCAGTCTGCAGCTGAGCTCCTGCCCCACAGAGCACCCCTCCCACACAGCTACAGCAGGAAAAACTTTTTTTTTACAAATCATGATTTCATTGCAAAATGTAGCTAATGATTTATATTTTTTTAGTTTCTTCGCAAAACGTAAAGTTTGGGTAAAGTTCAACTGTATCCTGAGTTGCCATTTTCCAAAAACGATATTGTATAATGTTGCTACTTTTTTACAGCAAGAAACAACTTTCCTACAAAAGGTTGTAAATGGCATGAAGCACTGCTGCGATGACGTGCTGAAGTGGGAGTGTCCGAAACGGTAGGAGGTTCTTAAAGAGACACAGGTCAATTTTGAGGCATTTAGATTATGATGCAAAGTCAAATTTATAGTTAGTTGTTTGTGGTATGGAATTAAACAGTGCCTGGGAAGTACATAACCCCCCACCCCCCGACATATATTTTACACTTGGTTCTGCATGAGTAAAAATCAGGAAAGGGATGTTAGTTTAAGAGCAGAGTAATTGTAATAATGCTGCATTGCGTCAAAAAGCCCAGAATAATGATAAAACTTGACCATGTTGACAGATGGACTCCCTGACATGAGTACAGGCTGGATTTTTAAAGACATAACGGCACAATGAAGTTTGACTGACTTTACCTTGTGCACACGTGAACGCGTTCTCCTGCAGCACGTACCCAGGGAAGCACTCACACCGGTAGGAGCCAGGTGTGTTGACGCATCTGTGGTGGCAGATGTCCGCATATATCAGGCATTCGTCCATGTCCTCCACTTCAACAGGAGCTTCCACGGCGTTCTCTCCATCCCCCACCGCTCCGATGGAGAAGGCTTCTTTAGGGTAGGGGCTGTCTGAGACTACACAGCAAAGGAAAAATGGCTGTTAAAAAGTTCGGCTTTGTCTTTTGCGCTTTCTTCCACAAGGCTGAGCAAACAAAGTACACCACGTCCCTGAGCAAGTTATCCTTCAATCATTCATGTAATGACTTCTTACTAAAGGGCAAAAAACACATTAAATATATGAAGAGGGTAAAGGTTTCATGGCCTGAAAAATGGATTCCAACAATCGTCCCCAAAGAGATGTTCCTTATCGCTCCTCAGCCACAGGGCATAACGGCCCCTAAAAATATTTCAACGAGACGTGAGCCAAGTTTTCTTTTAGCTTCTCGAAGCCAAACCAAGTGAGCGATACACAACTTCCAATAAAAAGGAGCTGTGTGCAATGCCCAGCAGGCAGGCAGACACTAGATCTCTAAGAATTACAATAGAAGGGTGAATGAGGCTGTTCAGAGTACCATTTTTCAGTGGGCTGGGGGGAAGGACCTTCCTCCAGGTCTTCTTTCCAAACTGCAAATTTAAAATAAATTGATCACCTTTTGTTTAAATCTTTCCCTGGGAGTTTGTTTGAATTTGTAGGAGCCAAGTACTTGTGTAAAGAATATCTTTATACCAAATATACACGTGCATATTTAAAAACAGTTTCACATTTTGGACAGAAAACATTATAATATTACACCGATTAGTTAATCTAGCCACATTTTTGTGAGTTTAAAGTGGTTGTTAAATTTTGTACACAGATACGATACAGCAAAGAATTACAAAACTAAAAAATACCAGAATATTATTGGAATATGCAGACTTAATTTAATCTGTTTTTATGCATTTCTTTCATTAATTTTCAAGTACAGACATGCACATACTCTGGCATCCGTCAGGAGGTGTCGCAGCAACTTGTGTACCGCTAATTCCCACGGCCCTGAATCCCTCCAAACTCTCTATGGAGAAAAATTAGTCTCACAATCTTCAGACTGAAGTCTGAAGGAGGTCACGTTCCATAGCAGTTCAGAGGCGAAGAAAAAATAAAAGTTCAGAGGTGACCTGTTGTGCACAAAGGAAGTCATCACACGCAGCGGGCTTTGTTTGAGGAAGTAGCCACACATGCTACATTTGTTAGCTGATGTGATTCTGAAGTTCTTGTGCGATCACAACCAATTAAATTATTATCTAATCGGCTTTAGGTCCAACATTCACATTTAATCTTGCCTCTTGATGGATTTGCCGGCACAGCATTTTATTTTTGGAGCTGAGCTTCGAGCGGAAGGTAAAATAAACAGAGTATTGATTCCAACGTGCTAGTATTGGCACGGTCCAAAGCTAATTTAGCATCATCTGTTGCTGTAAAATTTCAGTCATCCAGGACATGTGAAATGAAAAGAACAAGGACGAAGCAGTTAAGGCCTGAACACACTCCTTCCGAAGCCGAGTGGGTGATACACGGTCACGTGGTTGTTCGGCTTTCGTTTTCACACACACCTTTCGTAGCCCCTTAGACACACAACGCCGAGCTCCTTGGAAACATCTCACACAGCAGCTTACATCACTGCATGGAGTTTCTTCCCACTGGAGTCTACAGTGAGGAAATTACTGTATTTATTCATGTATAATACTAGAAATTTAACCCTAAAAATCATCCATAAAGTAGGGGGCTAGTATTATACACGGGTTATTGGTGATTAGATTTTTTTATGCTTTTTAAGCTCAAAAATTATGATTGTATTATACTTGAGATCGTATTATACATAAATAAATACTGTAGTTCTGAGACTCATCACCCGACGTTATTTGTGCACAAATGTCGCGGTTAAAGCTTCACAGTTTTATCCTCTGAGCACAACATCTGGTTTATCTCCATCCATGATTTTCAAGCCATTTGACTAACTTGATAAATCGCTGCTTCCTGGCAGTGTACAGTAGTCGACTCTGGAAGAGTCTTTTTTTGGGAAATGAGTGGTTGAAGCAAAATGCAGCATCTGAGCACTTTCAGCACAAACACTCCCATAAGCTTCTTACCAATCACACAATAAGTTCTAAAGCTGAGGGGGGTAAAAAGTTCTGTCGACAGGTTGTGACAAAAGGGGCAGCCGAGTCAGTGCTGAGAACATGGGTGAGGTAATTTTTGTCACGAAACTGCGACAATCCAAGCCGATTTCGGCAGTTTGGAGGGAGTGTGAAGTGGGCTTAATGCTACGTTCACAAGAACCCGTTTTGAGCGGCAGGAGCGGCCGATTCACATGCAAAGTCTATGGAGGACTCGCCTCTAGGGGTCGTGCGTGTCGTCACGTACGTTTTGGGCGGCGTGCAAGGAAGGCGGAAGGGGCGCAGAGCGTTTTCTGTGCATGCGGTGCTGCGGAAGCCGCCGCCAGAGTTCAAATATCTGAACTTTACGCAGCTCGACGCGTCTCCCACTGAAAACTGAAACAGACGGACTGGAGATCTTTACCTGAAATCGACCGTGTGCAGTTGGATTTTCTGGCAGGAAATATCAGCACTGATGTGAATCAGCTGCTCTGGACCAAAAAAAGAAAAAAAAAGTCAGTCAGCTGGCAGCTTCTGGAGTGACGAAACTAACCGAACAAATCACCTCTAAATCATCTGGTGAGTTAATTATCTGCTGTGCGCAACGTTCGCTTGCTTTTTAGTTAAAAAAAAAATCGAAGCCATTTTCTTTTATTTTATCTTTATTTCACCCGCCGAGGACACGCTCCTCCCACACCTCGCTGCTGCCACTGCTTGTTCTGGTCTGAACACTAGTGCGTTCTTCGGTCTGAAAATAGTGCGTCCAACGAGAGACGTTTTGCGCTTTTAGGCCGCTCAAAACGCGTTCGGTGTGAACGTCGCATTAGACCTCTGTTCTGCAGCTGAAGATAAGCAGAGTTCAGTGCTTGAAACTCCCATCAGGTTGGTAACATTATGCATTCTTGGATCGATCCGATCCGCTCACTTCCACCTCAGTGACGTTACATAAGTCAGATGAAATTAAACGTTATCTTTCTGCGTCAATCACCTTGTAACACATCTGACAAGTTGCATAAGGGCCAAACACAACCAAATTTGAGCCACTTTTTCCTGCAGTGTAAATGTAGTCTTAAAAGAAACGATTTCTTTTTGTTTGTTGGGGGTGGGGGATGTAGTTGTTTGTTTGCTTTGAAAACCCTTGATCTAATCATTTAACCTTAAAATAACATTTTTTGTGATGACTGTATATTTGAAGTAAACTACTCAAAGTAATAAACTTCTGATTTTTTAAATCTTGTGTGCACGCTCAGATCGTGAGATTAATTTATCTCCATACTTCCCCTTTGTGCATTAGTATTTATACCTTTTCTCGGAGGTGGGGTGGAGTCCAGAGCAGGCCTCTCTCTGACGACGTGCCTCCCCTCCTCCTCTCCCCCACAGCAGGTCAAAAAGACATGTTGGCAGTGGAAACCCATGTGCCGGTGGGCTTCACAGCGAAGGCCCGCTTTCAGGAACTGCAGTCCAAGAGAGCAGCAGCCACAGCACTCCTGCAGGTCAAACAAACAGTGTTGGATGATGGTTGTTTGTATTTAAAGCAAACAGCATTTTATGGAAAATAAGACTTACTTTTAACCACTGCAGCTCTGTGATCAGTGTGATCAATGCTGCAATTATTCTGTTTGAATTCTCTGAAGTCAAAACTAGAAAATTACCACCTTTTGAACTGAAGGTTCATCATGGCAGTTAAAAAAATCTGCAGGTTGAATCCTTCCGACTGCAAAAAAAATCCTATTTTTTCTCTCAGCACTTGTTAAATGATCTGTGTTCACTACAAAACTAGCTCACCCCTCTGCATTCTCCAAATATCTTTTGACCCAAGTGTGTTCCTGGGTTTTTCTTTCCTGCCAGCTCAGTGACCTTCATAAATACTTGCACGTACAATATATCTTGTATTACATGCACAGACAGCTGGTATAAGTGTGTTAGAAGGGATAAGCTCTCCCTGGTGTTTGCAATAAAAATGTTAAAAACAAAAATATTGTATCACATTTTATGAAATTTTCAACAAAACTGGTGCCAAACAGCCTGGAGAAAATCCCAGAGTCTTTCTAATAGGCTAACTTTTCACAGCCCTGTTGATTTAATGTCCTTCCTGGTGCACAATGATTGACAGATATCTTGTCCCGCCCCATTGGTTTGCTGCTCATTGGGGCTAATTTAGTTCAGCCTAATGAGGGTGGACGTACAATTATGTGTAACGGGTATCAAGCATGTAGTTTGGTATAGACTGAGTTGATGCGATGAAGAGCAAGATTAACATAAACAAGGTGGATTATTTAATTTTTCAAGCCTTTTCCTTCATGTCTTTGGAGGAAAACTGGAAGTGAAGAGGCTCTGGGCGGATAGACCAAAGGATATTCCTATCCAGCAAATGGAAAAGCGGCTAAATCAAAGTGTTTCTGTGACCAGGTTTCAGCAGAAGAACTAACAGCAAGTGTAGCTAAATCTTTTTCCTTGTTTCCGTGTTCGCTGTTTGGATATGGTAAAGGCTCAGACTTTTCTGTGTGGAGTTTTTATGTTCTCCCTGTGCATACATGGGTTTTCTTTGGGTACTTTCTTCCACAAACCAAAAACGTTAGGTTGACTGGAGATTCTAAACTGCCCTTAGGTGTGAGCGTAAGTGCCTGGTTTGTCTCCGTGTCCAGTGTGTCCCCCACCTCTTGTCCAATCACCTCTGAAGGTAAGTTTGTACTCCCAGCATTACTCCAGTGAGTATTTATAAACAGATGGATGCATAAATGTGATCCAGGCGGTGCTAATTGGACTATCTGTGGGAGCCATAATAACGTTTTATCGACCACTGCTGCTGTTTTACTTCATCAGTTATCAGTTTATGTTTAAAAAATGAATTGACGCTTGACGTTTCTATTTGCTGAGGTCTGCATCGAAGATAATGAAGTTTGAAGGACTGGAAATCCTCAAGAGTAATATATGTGCTAAATTAAAAAGAATAATGATGTGCTGAAGAAGAAAGGCATCACAACAGTGAGACTCTGTGGAAATCCAGAGGTGCAGACTAATTGTAGAGGGGCAGTGGTTACGCTGGGTTACATGTCACATAATGATCTGTGCTTCCAGTCACTTTTCGAAGAAAATCTAGTAAATTTCTACATTGTTCTGACTTTAATTTGTGGAGAAGAACTCTAAAAGGTTTTGGTTTTGTCACTGGAAACCAATGGTGCAATTATTGTCCAAACTTCCTTCCTTAGAAAACAGTTAAATGAGGAAATTGTTGGTTAGTTTCTGAGCCTGAAGTAGTGTCTATAGTCTGTAAATGAATCTGCATTAAATGAATTAAAATGAAATGCAATATTATAGCAGAGGTTAAGTTGTAATACTTTTCTGTGGCCACTTAAAACACAAATGTAAATGAAACCAGTGTTCCTTGAAGGAATGCACATCGCTCGCCTTCTTCATGCCAGAGTTTAAGATCATCTTTGAGATGAGTTGTAGCCATTATGATAAAACCTTGAAAATAATACTGTGCACAGTTCCATGTATAATGTCACAGAGTACACAACATGAATCACTCAGCTACAAATTATGTATATGTATGAGAGGAAAACTGTTAACTAGACAGAGCTTCAGACATGTTTCTGTTAGCCCAAGAGGATTATCTGTGGTGGATTGTCATAGGTTCAGTGACACCTTTCTGCAACTATCTTTAAAGTCTTTAAGATATTTTATGAGCAGACAGGGGTGTATTCACACTTGACACATTTGGACCACTTTAAACCAAAGGACTTTTCTGGTATGAAAACACCCAAAGAGAGTAGATTCCAACAGTTCATGCTAAAGTTTTAAACAAAGATCTTGAGCCGTGAAAGACCATGCCAAATTTGAGCTCAATATCTATTAAAGTGGGTTGGCTCTAAATGTTAATCAGTTGTACATGAAAAACCAATGAATAAGATTCCTAAAAGTTTCATTAAAATTCATTCAGTGATTCATGAGATATTTTGCTAATAAACAGACCGATTCAGTTGCAAAAAATTACCGGCCAAAATATCAAGCAAACACCTCGTACAATCTGGGATAAAAAAAATAAGTCAATATCTGTAAATTGTTAGAATCTGTGACTTTTGTTACTGTATTAATACAGTACTTGTTAAAATTTGTGCCCTTTGGTTATTTTTTTGAAGACTGCGTTTTGAATGATGAGTATTTCTGTGCAGTGTGTGTTCTGCCACGCCCACCTGGTCCCACTCAGTCTGTGCACAGGTGTTTGTACTTTGCTAATGAGCCCTGACACTTTATATACTTTGGGTGTTGATTGTCCAGCATTACAGTCTTCTATTTTGCAGATAATCTGTTGATTCAGACTCTGTAGCTGTCTTTTCTTTTGCAGTAAGCTTATGTTAGATTTTCTAGTTTTGCTGCCACGATAGATCCACCACCCTAATGTGTTTTATCTTTTGTCCTAAAGTGTAAAAACAGTAATAAATGTTAACATTCGCTATATAATTCTGGCTATATGTCACCTCCACTGGCCAGAAAAGGCCCCCTTCAACAAAATCCAAGTGGCCCACGGAAAACAAAATTTCCAGATTTGCCCTGACGTTCAGAACTGCGTCTGTGAGCTCTTGTTGTGATACTTGCCTGATAGGAATTCATCCCACATTTCCTGTCTGTGTCCTCCTCACACACACTTCCTGCTCGGGCTGCATTCATTCCCGCCGAGCACTGGCTTTCCTTCAGAGAACCCAAGCAGCACTGTTGTTGGGCAGTCCTGTCAGAGACGGACACACACACACAGTAAATTAACAACACACCTTTGCACAAGTGTTGCCGCAGGACTGCAAGTCAAAGGTGAAATTAAAAATGCTAGTTTTAATTAAGGTCCTGAAGATGAAGTGTGATTAATCTTGCAAGAAAATCAGTTTTGTTTTATTAATCAGGGTAACCAGTTTCTGTTATTAGATTTCTGCACGTGGGCAACATAATGAGCTCACCAGCAAACGGAGTGGCGGTCTTTAGCGGGTGGCTCCATGTTGTTGCAGTGGCCTTTAACAGAAGCCCACTTCTCTCCGGTCTCACAGCAGCTCCTCACCAGCTCTCTGACTGACACTGGAACGAAACAAACACTCAAACCTGAATGTCACCTTTTCATTGCAGCCGGTGTTTTAGAATAATACAGTTAACAAATATAAAACCAAGAGTTCAGCTCTTATTTATTATGTGGGTATTTCTGACAACACTAACATGCAGTCAGTTTAGCCATTTTGATTTCCTCATTTACCTCTGTAATTTAAAATCTATGGAATAAAAACAGTGCTTGCTCTGACAAATTTTTTCCCTCGTCTGTCCTTGTGTGGTTTTTAGTTTTTCTGTTAAGAGGTGCACCTCCTCATGATGTCTTCATGAAGATGATCCTTGCTCTGTGCAGGGTCTGTGACAGCATGACCCAGAGATCCTGTTCTCCTTTGTTTGTTATGTTCTGTCTTCTTCTGAATGGGTGTTCTGAACTGTAATTTCATTGTGCTCTGTACGATGACAATAAAAGTCTAATCTAATCTAATCTAATCTAATCTAATCTAATTAAGTTTTAAAAAATAAAACACTGTCACTGGAAAAAGAAATGATGACATTGAAAAACTTGTGATGATACTTCCATTTTACTCTGTAGCTTTTTATCACAAAGTTGTCAACACTATTGCAGAGTTTTTTTTTTTTTGTTACGTAGTCACTGCAAGCTGTCATCATTTCTACATTAGGGGGCGGGGTTAAACGGAAAGCTCCTTCACGAACCTCCGGTTCCCTTTCAGTCAATTCACTCGGTACAACATCATGTATGTATGGGAACCACGCTCCTGCGTGTCCTGGCTGAAGCCACCTCTAATCACGCCTTTAGGCAGGTGACGTGATGACGACAGATGTCAGGCTCCGCCTGCACATATAAATAAGCCGACGAAGAGGAGGAGGCCTCCCAGTTTCATCTGGACCCCCACCAAGGAGGGGAAGACGTGCTGGATATCGGCCTGGATATTCA